GCAGCTGGCTCCCACCTGGCTCCTCATCCAGCCAAAATCCCTGTGTCCTGCCAGTGCCAAGGCCACCGACACCCCAGGGGCTGCTCAGCCCTTCCCAAGCAGCAGCTCTGAGAGCCCCAGCTGCAGGCACAGGGAAGGGATGGAGGGGAGATTCAGGGCAGTGCTAGGAAGGATAAAGATCCCAAACAATAACGCAAAGAGCTCCTGGTGCTTGGGAAAAGCCATCCCTCACCTCCCCTGGCTCCAAGGGACAGCTTTGGGGACCCTCTGGGTGCCAAGGGGGGTAGGTCACAGCCAGGCTGGGTGGCTCAAAGCCACTTGTGCCTCTGAAGAGACACATTTTTGCCTCTGAAAAACCCAAAACAGGCAGTTGCCAATTTTTTTTCCCATCAGGCACCCCAGAGGAGCAGGACATGGAGCCTGGGGCAGTCTGGGAAGGGATTCCTATATGGAAAAAAGACCCCAGTGACACCCAAAGCCTTTCCCAGCAGGGAGAGGAGAGTGAGGTGATGCCAGCAGAAGAAAGAGCAGCTCCCAGCCCCAAATCCCACTGCCCTTCATCTTCAAAGGGCTCTTCTCATCCCCTTCCCTACCTGCTCCCGGCATGCCTGACAAAAAGGATGAGCCCCACAGCAGGCTGCAGCATTCCAGGCTCCCAATTAAAATCAAAGCATCTGCAGAGATGGATCCCAGAGGGACACAGCATCCCAAACCTCCTCCCTCCTGCTCTCCCCAAAGACAGGTCCCTGGCGGGAGGAGAGCCCAGGACAGGACACAGAGCATCCATCCCATGGCTGCCTCGGGATCAGGGGGTTTGGGAGCCCTCTGGACCATGGCAGAGGGGTGACCCAGGCCATGCCATGTCCAGCAGGCAGAGACAGCCCCACTTCATCCCTGAACTGGCTTTATCCCCCTTGAGCACCCATCCCGTGCTCCCCCAACCCCTCCAACCTCACTCCATGCTAAATCCCAGCAAACCCCCAGCCCCACACCCCCACTGCCAGCCACTTCAGGGCTTTATTATCCTTTTTCCAACAGTTCTTTTTTCCTTTTCCATCCCTTCCCTCCCCACCTGGCGCATCCCCGTTTCCAGCCCGCTGCCTCCCTCGGTTTCCAGCCGGGAGAGCTCCGTAATGGCCTCATTATTTCCAGTGAGGAATCCGTGTGCTCAATTAGGCAGAGGAGGGTAATTATCTACTTGGAGAACATGAGGAAAAGGCGGGGTGTTTTGTCAGGGACCAGCACAGCTCCCAGCCCAGCCCCTGGATGCTCCAGGTGTCTCCAATGCTGGGCGAGCCCTGGGATAATCCCACTGTGCTCCCAGCCCCACCTGGCTGGGTCTTCCCCACTTCACAGCCCCCCACTACCTAAAGTCCTCATGCCCTGCACCTGCAGCCTCCAGACATCCTGTTTAACGAGTAATTAACCCTTTTCCTTGTTAATTAACCGGGCAGCACCCCTGGCACTGACAGACAGGTCCTGGCTCATGGTGGCCAAATCCAAAAGTCATCTCCAAACTCCTTTTGGTGCACAGACCCTTGGGGTGATGCTCTTCCCCCAGACCCTTGCAACAAGTTTTTTTTCCTTAATATGGTTCATTTCCTATGACCTATTTGGGATTTTCTGGGTTTTTTTCACAAAACATTCCATGTTTTTCCACCTAAAACACCCCCTGTCTTTCCCACTCTGGCAGCAGCAGGATGAGATGGCCAAACCCTTCCCCAACCCCTTTCCACCACCTCATGTCCAAAAAGGCCAAGTGGGACCTAAACTCTGCCCTTCCCACACCTTCACCCGGGTTTTAGGGGCCCACTGGAAAATCCCAGTGCAAGGAGCATCCCAGGAGGATCCAGCTTTCCCTGGAGAATCCCCCACCTCTCCACACCTCAGCCAGGGAAGGTGCAAGGGGCAACACTCCCCCACCCAAAGTACTTTCCCATCTTTCTCCCCACCTCTCAGACACCCCGTTCTCCACCAAATCCCAGCTCCCCCCATTCCCAGTTTGCATTCCCAGCCATTCCCTTCCACTGCACAAGCTCTGGCTTCCCCCTGGAGCATCCCGAGGAGCCGGCCGGGATGCAGGGCACGCAGGGAGAGCAGGGATGGGCTCCTGCCAAGCTCAGCACCTGGGAACACCCCTGTGCATCCCGCCGGCAGCAAAACCCCGGCTCTCCCCCCCGCACCCGCGGGGACCCCGATCCCTGCTGTCCCCAGGGATGGGGACCCCGATCCCGAGCCATTTCCTCCCTGCCCCAGGCAGGGCCAGGGGAAGCACCTGGGAATGACGGTGGGAGCCCAGGGAAACCCCCCGGGATCACCGGGCAGCCCCTGCGGCTTTCCCGGCCCGGAGGATCCCGCAGGGAACCGGCAGCCCCCAGTGCCCCCCCGTCCCTCCCTTCCAGCCTCATTTCCTGCCTCGCTCGCTCCCATTATCCCGATTTTCCCGTAAGGCCCAAAAATCTGCAGGCTCATGCTGCTGCTCCGCTCGGAAACTTTGGGTTTTCCAGCCGGGAGGCTCTGCCAGCCTCCGGGACGGCTCGGAGCCCCCCGGGAAAGCCTTTCCCTGCCTCCACGGGCTCTGAATCCCGTCCCTTTCTCATTTTTTAAGGACAAAACGTGCTGGGCGAGGCCGATCCCAGCAAGAACGCCGCGGCTCAAGTTTCACCCTGCAAATATTGCGAGTGGGTTTGTGCCTCCCCGGGCAGCCCAGGGACACCTGGCCCGGGAAAACCGGGAGCGAGGGACACGAACCGAGCCCCGGGGCACCTGTCCCGGGGGAGCATCCCGGAACCCTGCCCGAGGCAGGGAGGAAAAAAGGAAATTTGGTGTTTTTACAGTAGAGAAGTACAGGCTGAGAAAGTGTCGGGATGGGATGGGGAGGGTTGGAGAGGATGGGAGCGTTGGGAAGGGATGGGAAAGAAGAGATTGTCCCTTCCAGCAGGGCGAGCGCCTATAAATGGCCTCTTTGTCATCTCAGCCAAGGCAGCGGGTGGAAAAATGAGGACGGAGCGGCTCGAGGGGGGGACAGTGAATGTCCCGGCCGGTTTGGGGGCCCTCCTGGGGGTCCCCTCGTCCCAAAGGTCCAACACCGGGGCGCGGAGCCCCCGGAGGGGTCCCGCTCGCCCCAAACCCACGCGGGTGACGCGGGACAGAAACCCAGCGCTGGAAAGGGGGGGTGCTCCGGGTCCCCAGCGTGGCAGGGGGACCCCCGAACCCCTGGGGGACCCCCAGACCCCAGATACCCCGAGAGCACAGCGCGGGGGGGAGCCCCGGCGCTCCCTGGGGACCCCCAAACCCCAGGCGCTCCGGAGTGCCGGGGGACACCCACCACCCCTAGGGGACCCCCAGGGCCCCCCGAGCCCCGCTCCGAGGGCTGCCGGGGGCACCCCCGCCCCCCGTTACCTTTGCCGTAGGCGAAGGGGAGGCGCAGGGCGCGGCCCTGGCGCACCAGGCTGATGTGCAGGTAGGTGAACCAGGCGGCCGAGGTGAGCAGCGCCAGCAGCAGCAGCAGCTTCAGCTGCTTCCGGAGCTTCTTCACCGGGAGCCGCGGCATCCTGCCGCCCGCATCGCCCCCGCCGCCGCTACCACCGCGCCGCGGGCGCGGCCATGAGGGGCGCGGGGGGAGCCGAGCCTCGGGCCCTGCCCCCGGCCCTGCGCGGCGGGAGAGCGGGGCGGCGGCGAGGCGGAACCGAACGGGGCATCCGTACTGAGGGGACGGAGGGGTCGGCGCTGTTGGTGACGCGGGCCTTGACGGGGTCGCCCCCCGATCTCCCCCCCCTCGCGGCGAGGATGGTTCGTTCCCGCCCGGCAGCGGCGGGGCTGCAGCGTCCGGGCCGGTCCGCAGGGGGGCGCCACCCACGGGCACGGACCCCACCGGGAACCCCGGGATCAGGGCCGGGAACCCCGGGATGATGAGTGCCGGGATCCCCGGGATGATGAGTGCCAGGATCCCCGGGATCGTCCCGGGATGATGAGTGCCGGGAACCCCGGGATCAGGGCCGGGATCGTCCCGGGATGATGAGTGCCGGGATCCCCGGGAGCATCCCCCGCTAGCTGCGGGGATCCCATAGGAGCTGCCTCCCACTCGCTGCGCGTCCCACGGGGGCTGCATCCCCGGGATCCTCGCTGCTGTGCTCCGGGATCCGCAGGAACTTTTCCCTTCCTCTCCCATTCCAGAGGTTGGGGCAGCGTCCCCTCCCTGCTGCGGCTCGGGCTAGGGCAGAAACCACGGGAGAAATCCGTCATTAAAGGAAAAAATACACTCACGGCCGGGGAAACTAGAGGGCACCAATGCCCTGGGCTGCGATTCCCATAAACCAAATCCCAATTTCCAGGGCGGGGCCATGCTTGTTCGTTTTATTTAATCAGAAACACTCCCGGAGCTGCCAGGAGAAGGCTCCAGGATCCAGCGGATTCCGGTGCATTCACACAGTCCAAGCACTCTCACACCGTGAAGGCTGACAGGGGATGCAGCCCCCGGCAGCAGCCGGAGCTTTCCGGGGATCCCAAATGGCATCCCCAAAAAGTGGCACCTCCTGGCCTCAGCCCTGTGCTTGTGGGAGATGGAGGTGGGCTTGGGCTCCAGCAGGATTTGGGGATTTCGCAGGGATCAGGGACAGAGAAAGAGGGAAAGAAGGGAAAGAAAAGGGGGGAAATTATGGGGCCAGGGGAAAAAAGGGGCAGTGAAGGGGGCAAAGAAAGGCGGGAAAGTGAGGAAAAAAAGAAAGGGGGAGGAAAGAACAGCGTAAGGAAAGAAGCAGGCAAAGAAGGGACAAAACGGGAAAAGGGAAGAAAGGGACAACATACTTAAAAAAAAAAAAAGGGAAAGAATGGGGTAAAGGATGAAGGGAGGATAGGGGGCAAAAAAGGTGACAAGGAAAAGGGCAGGGAAACAAGGGGGTAAAGAAAGAAAAGGGAAAGGAAACGGTGAAGCAAAAAGAGGGCAAAGAACGAGCAGAGGTGGAGACAAGGGAGGAAGCCGGCAGCAAAGGGGTAACAAAAGCAGCGGGGAAAGGGGTGAAGATTAAACAGGGAACGAGGAAATGGGGCCCGGGGTTGCCCCGCCGGCCAGGAGGAGTCTCCCGAGCCCTTACAGGGGCGTCGGGAGGGGCGGTCTGTTCCCGCTCCCTCCTAAATCTCGAGGAAACGAAACCGCGGGCGCAGCGCCCGCCCCTCGGTGCCTCCAGCTCCCGCAGCCCCGCGCCAGCCCCAGGTGTCGCCGCCGCTGTCCCCGAGCCCGCGACATGCAGCCGCAGCTGCCGCCCTACGAGGTGCTGCCGGGGGAGCTGAGCATGGAGGAGATGTCCCGGAGCACCGCGGTGTTGGTGGAGGAGACGCCGCGGCCGCCGCCGCCGCGGGACCACCTGGTGTGGTCCCTGTTCACCACCCTGTACGGCAACTTCTGCTGCCTCGGCCTCATGGCCTTCGTCTTCTCCGTCAAGGTGGGCAGCACGGGGGGACAGCGGGGGTGGGGGGCCCGGGGGGACCCCAGAGAGTCCCGGGGTTCAGGGACGCCCAGTGAGCCCCCAGCCCGGGATGCCCCCCCGGGGACCCCACTGGGGTTGAGGGGTGACCCGTGGACCCCACAAATCCCAGGGACCCCACAGAGTCCCCTCTTCACAGGCCACTGAGCCCACAGACAGCTCGGCAGACAGCAGGGGTTTGGGGCAGGGAGGGCAGCAGCACCTCAGGGTGTCCCCAGTGTTTTGGGCAGGTTCAGCCCGGTCTGGAGCCCCCAGCGCCTCTCCCACAGCCCTGAGCCCCCCGGGAACCCCCCCCTGACCCTGCCTCTGCCTGTCCCCAGTCCAGGGACCGCAAAGTGCTGGGTGACTACAGCGGGGCCCTGAGCTACGGCTCCACGGCCAAGTGCCTGAACATCACAGCCCTGGTCATCAACATCGCCATCGTCATCATCGTCATCGTCGTCATCTGCCTGGCTGTCACCGGAGTCTTCAGCCGGCCCCCGCCCGGGTATGGGCACGGCTATGGCCCCACTTAATGCCCTCCCTGCCCCGCGGGCTCTGCTTCCCTCCCCGGGGCTACGACAATCCACGGCAATCCACGTGCCTCACCCGGAGCCTGCTGCTCTCCTGTCCCTGTCCCTCCCCACCCGGAGCCTTTGTGGAGGCCGTGCTGCTGGCTGCCCTCCCTGGAGCTGTCTGGGGACGGACAGGGCTCCCCAGAGAGCAGCCGAGCCCCCCAAGCCTGCCGCAGCCCGATTGTTGCTTCGCTCTGGGCCTGGAGCCCCAGCTGCCTCCAGATAATTCTGGGGAGGAGCACCTGGTTCAGAGAAACCCTGGTTCCTGAAATAAAGTTTCTTTCACTTTTGCCCTGCCTTGGTTTCGTATCATGGGGATGTGGTTTGCGGTTTCTTCTAGAGCAGCTTCACGGGGTGAAAAACAATGTCAGCCCGTGGGATGTGCCTGGGGGAGGTGGAAACTGTCCCTCATCATGGAGACAACGCTCAGGGGACACCCCGGGTGCCGTGGACCTGGATGCTGCATCCATACGGGGAGTGAAGCCCTTGGAAGGGTCACACCCAGGATGAGGGCGGAACCTGCTCCCTGCCGGGGTGTCACCAGGAGCGCCCCATCCTCACCAGCCCTCCGGAGGGGCTGGCAGCAAGCAGAGCCGAGGGTGAGGTGGCTTTGGTGGGGCAGGACGTGCCAAGGGCTTGAGCAGGATGAGCAGGGCCAGCAGGGCTGGAGAGGCTCCCAGAGGGAAGGGGCCGGTGGGGTCTGCGGCTCCATCCCCATTTGTCCCACCAAGGCTGGATCCCACGTCTCCCCCTGCAGCCAGGTGAGCTGGGGTCTGTCACTGGGATATTTTATGAAAATCCTTTTCCCAGGATTTTCTCCTGAGTTGCTGAGAAGCCCCAGAAAAGGAATGCAAACAATAACTATCTGATGGCTGTGGAATGCAGTCTGGAGATGGTTTACCAACAGGTGCATCTTTGATTGGGCCATGGGAGTTATTTCTACTTAATGACCAATCACAGCCAGCTTGGTAGGACTCTCTGTCTGTCACAGGTTTTTGTTTTTCATTCTTTTCTAGCTTTCTGTCTGTATTTTTTCTCTATTCCTTTTAGTATAACTTTAGTATAGCATTTTAATATAATATAATAAAATAATAAATCAGCCTTCTGAAACACAGAGTCAAGACTCTCATCACTTCCCTCATCCTGGGGACCCTCAAACAAAATGACAGGGATCCTGCTGTGATCCTCACAGCCCCCATCCCCCTTGCCTGGAGCCCGGCTTGCCTGGGCACAGCTGCAGCAGGAAGCAGGGAATGAATTCCGATCTCCCTTTGCTGGCACACGCAGATTTTGCTTTCGCTATCAAACTCATCCCAGCCCAGCAGTTCCCTCACGTTTGTGCTCCAGATTCTCTCCTCATCCCACAGGGGAGGGAGCTGTGGTCACACCGAGCACCAGTGTCCCCTGCTGCTGGCTGGCAGGGCGGGATCCTCGCGCCGAGGGGCTGCCACATGTGTCACTCCCGTGTCACTCCCGTGTCGCTCCTGTGTCACTCCCGTGTCGCTCCCGTGTCGCTCCCGTGTCATTCCCTGCCCGGCCCCGGCAGGGACACGGGAAATCACGGCCCCAGCACATCTGGCAGAGCCTCAGCCCTGCAGCTGGCCTGGCCTCCCCCTTCCCCTCTGCACTCCTGGCCCTCGGCAGGGCCCCCAAAGCTGGGAACAAAAGCTGCTTTTCCCTCTCCCCACCAACATGGGGCTCCTGCCAAGGCATCGCGCTCGTAAGAGTTCAGAAATCCCACTGACAAACACAGCGGATATTTGTTGCAGGATCCCTGGCACCGAGCCTCTGGTGAATCATTTTCTGCTCTGCTTTTTTCCCGGAAAACACGGGCTCCTTGCTGCAATGGGAATGTGCTGCCCGCCCAGCCCTAGGCTTGGCCTGCCCAAAACCAGCGCAGCCAATGGAACTCAGGCCAACAAAGGCCATTGCTCCAAGATCCCCGCTTCCTCCTTCCTGTTTTTATCAACAGATTCCAGCACAAATCCAAAGGGCAGCCCCACACAGGCCGACATGGAAAAAATTGACCCTTTCACAACCCAAAACAGTCACAGGCAAAGCCTCCCTCCCTCACATCTCTGACCACTCCAGGCTGCCATGGACAGCTCCCCGCAGCCCTCCTGCCACCAAAACTTGGGAGGAGAATAAAAGCCCTCCAGAATGAGGCATGACTTTGTCCTGGCGTGGACATGAGGTGGAAAGCACTCCCATCCACATGATGTTTCCCATATCTACACAGACAAAAACCCAAAGAAATTCTCATTCACCGGTCGGAAATGACACTTAAGAATTACAATTCTTAGTATTAGATCTCCTATGGGTTCTTGGGTTCTTGATCCCTTCGTCTCTGATGCTAATTTGTTCCTCATTTTTCGGTTTCTCTCAACGATTAATTTCCCGGACAGGGAGGTGATGTTGGTTAATGGTCGCTAATGTTCCCTAATGTTTGCTAATGGCCTTCTGGCTTCTCCCAATCACTGGATGTTCAGACCATCGGCCCTCTGAACAGAGTCTTTCGAAGAAAAACGTCGAATTCCCCTCCCTCTTGGCACAGCCGAACAAATTCCTGACTGATGTTACATTAAAAAAAAATTAAAATTTAGATAATTTCCAACATCACCAACACCCCACAAGTCCCCTCGGAGTCCTCAGGGTTCCCCCAAGTCCCTTTAAGCCCCCCACGGGTCCCCAGAGCTGCCCTGCACCCCAGGGTGGGTGGGGTGGGGGTCCCCGAGGGCCGTGCCCCCCTCCCTCGCGGGGCGGTGCGGGGCCGCTCCCCCGCCCTGAGCGCGCTCCCTTCCCCTTCCAGGCGTTCATTCCCGGCCATGGAGCCCAGGCAGGCGGACGTGTCCATCCCACTGCAGTCCTCCGGCTGGGGGGCGGCGGCCCCCGGCCCCCGCTCGGAGCCGCAGCCCCGGGACTACGTGCTCTGGTCGGTGTTCAATGTGCTGCTGTGGTGCGCGCTGGGCGGGCTGGGCTGCTTCGGCTTCCCCCCGCTCGTCTTCTCCATCAAGGTGAGGGAGGGGACCCCCGGCTTTAACCCTGATTGGCCCCGGGACCCCCACCCAGGCTGACCCCCAGCCAGCCCCTCCCAGGGCTTCCGTCCCCCGACGTGTCCCGGCTCCCTCCCCAGCCCCTGACCTCCCACCCAGCCCGACCCGGGACCCCCGACCGGCACCCTCCCTTCACCCGGGGATCCCCCAGAGCCGTGCCCGCACCCCCAGCCCTCCCTGACACCCACCCCGCCTCCCTCCAAACGCCTCTCCCATCCCGGACCCCCAATCTGGTCTCCCATCCCCGATGCCAGCCCACCCCGGGACCCCCAAAGCCGTATGTCCCCCCGAGTGCCGGCACCGCGGGGTCCCCCCGGTGGCCTCGCCCCGTGCCCCGGGTGACACGTCCCCGGGGTCCCAGCACAACCGGGGGGCTTGGCCCCCCCAGCCGGTGTCCCACACATCCCGAGCCCCCCGCTTGCCCCCCAGGCCCGTGACTGCAAAGCGCTGGGGGACCTGGAGGGTGCTCGGCGCCACGGCGACCGCGCCAGGGTGGCGAACATCATCTGCTCCGTGGTGGTCGCCGTCGCCTTGGTGATCTTCATCATCATCGCCGCCATCGCCATATCCACGCTCAGGGCCAGCTGACCAGCGCCTGGCCCCACCCGCGGGGTGCTCCCGCCTCCGAAATGTGCCCGGGAAGGGGGTGACCCCGGTCCCCCACGTCCCCGGGGTCCCAGCACAACCGGGGGGCTTGGCCCCCCCAGCCGGTGTCCCACACATCCCGAGCCCCCCGCTTGCCCCCCAGGCCCGTGACTGCAAAGCGCTGGGGGACCTGGAGGGTGCTCGGCGCCACGGCGACCGCGCCAGGGTGGCGAACATCATCTGCTCCGTGGTGGTCGCCGTCGCCTTGGTGATCTTCATCATCATCGCCGCCATCGCCATATCCACGCTCAGGGCCAGCTGACCAGCGCCTGGCCCCACCCGCGGGGTGCTCCCGCCTCCGAAATGTGCCCGGGAAGGGGGTGACCCCGGTCCCCAAGGGGGTGACCCCGGTCCCCTCGCTGCCCGCAGCGCCCGGGAGGGGACGGGGCGGAGGCTGGGGCGTGGGGACAGGGGACAGCCCCCACCCCCCTTTGCTCTGCTCACACCCCTCCTGGCCCCTGTGACACGCCTGTCCCTCACCGCTGCCACCGACGGACGCCAAACGCCCTCGCTGTCACCTCATCCACCGCGGGATGTCGCAGACAGCCCTCGGGAATCTCTGTGGCGTCCTCCTCCTCCTCCTGCTCCTCTCCCTGCCTCCGTCCTGCCGCGGAGCAGGGCGCTTCCAGCCCAAATCCCAGGGAAGTTTCTTCCCAACATCTTGGAGGTTATAGATACATATTATAATATCGGCTTTCCGCAAGTATTAAAATGGATTTTATACGTGTAGTGTTAAAGTAACTTTGTTACTTTAAAGATATAATTTTACTTTTTAGTTTTACTAAAGATATAGATTTAAAGATATAGTTTTTATTTCTGTTGTTAATTAAGCTTGGTCATAGTAGTAAAACAGCCAGTATAAGCATACTTGTGTTAAAATGCCTGCTTAGATGAGATAACATCCAATAAACACATAAAAAAGACCCTTGCTTACAGATATACCAACTATCAACACTCACCATCTGAAGACAGTGTGGGCAAGAGCCAAAACTAAAAACAGTAATAAAAAACCCTAAAACCACAACCAAAAAATACGCGTTCTAAAAAAGTAAAACCAAAAAAGAGTCATACTGAGCAATTCTTAATATATGTAAACTAGTTTAAGAAAGAAGTTTACTATACACAAGAGTCTATAAATACACGACAGGCTGATATAAGAAAAAAAGTGTTTAAGAAGTGTGTCTGAAGATAACAGCATGCTCTTGAGAACCAAGACACGCCCAGCCATAATCTTTGCTCTGTTCTCCTTATGACCTATTATCCTTTATTAAACTTTTACAATTTTCACAAGAGAGTAAACGTGTTTTTCGCATTGGAGACGGCAGGAGAAGGAAATTAAAGCCCCTCCATGTGTTCTGACTGCCCACACCCCCACCCTGCAGCCCTGGAGGTACCTGGAGGCTGAATTGGGGGTGCCTGGAGGCTGGGTTCGGGGTACCTGTGCCAGCCAGCGCCGTGCGGGTCGTGGGCTCCGCCTTGCAGCGACCCTCCTGCGGTGCCAGAGTCACGCTGGAGCCTCCCGCGCTCCTCCTCATCCCGGGAGGAAGGCTGGCTATTAAAAGCCCGCGGGCAGCCCTTCTCCCAGGCCGGCCTGCGGGACAACCGCGTCCCCCAGGGCTGTAATTTCCCGGTTTATATTTAGCGGAGCGCGGATATAAAAGCGCCGCGCTCCCGCCAGGCTGCCGGAGCCGCGGCTGTCCCTCGCCGTGGCCATGGACACCTCGTACCCCCGGGAGGAGCGGCCGAAGGACAGGTGGCCCCCCGCCGCCCCCACGCCCCGCGACCACCTGGTGTGGGCCATCTTCAACACCCTCTACATGAACTTCTGCTGCCTGGGCTTCGTGGCGCTCGCCTTCGCCGTCAAGGTACGGGAGCGGCGGCACCGGAGCGCCCGGGGCTCCGGGAGTGCCAAGGAGGGATGGCCGGGGAGGCGGCGAGCGCTTGGGATAACTCCGGGCCGATCCCAACACTCCCCGCAGGGAGAATCCCTGCCGCTGGTGAAGCCTCCCTGCTTTTCCTGGGAGGCTGTGGGACAGCCGTGGATAACCACAGCCCCCTGCCCACCACCCGAGGAGCGCTGCTTGATCCTAAAAAGCGCCATGGGGGCCGTGATTTCACCACCCCGCTCCCGCAGGAGCAGCTCCAGCTGTGGAAAAATGGGAGCAAGCAGGGATCTGAGTCAGAGATGCTCTGGAGAAAGCAGGAGGGAAAATCTCAGCTCCAGCTGGGCTAGGCTGGGATAGAAAAATGGGGACAGGCAGGAGCTGGAGCCAGAGAGGCTCTGGATGGAGCAGGAAGGAAAGCACAAGTGGGAAAGGATGCAGGGCTGGAGGGGAGCAGGAGCAGCCTGGGATGGATGGATGGATGGATGGATGGATGGATGGATGGATGGATGGATGGATGGATGGATGGATGGATGGATGGATGGATTGTGGGTTGCCAGGGGGACAAAGCCCTGGAGCAGGATGGGGCTGCAGGACGGGGGTGCAGGAAAGGCTGTGGGAAAGGGCTGCAAGAGGGGGCTGAGGGAAGGGACTGAGGAAAAGGGGATGAGGGAAGGGGCTTTGGGAAGGGATGAGGGAAGGGACTGAGAGAAGGGGATGAGGAAAGGGGAGGAGAGAAGGGCTGTGGGAAGGGCTTTGGGAAGGGGCTGAGGGAAGGGTCTCTCCTCGGCTGTTGCAGGCTCGGGACAGGAAAGTGGCCGGGGACGTGGAAGCTGCCCGGCACTTCAGCTCCAAGGCGCGGTGCTACAACGCCCTGGCCACGGCGGGCAGCGTGCTGCTGCCACTGCTGCTCGGTGCCCTCGTTGTCACCGGGGTCATCCACCTCTCCAAGCTGGCCCAGGAGTCCGTCGGATTCTTCACCTACCAGTTCAGCGGGAGCGACGACGGGGAGCAGTGACCAGGGTGAGGGGCTGCTGGCACCTCCTCTGCGCCGCTGGTGGCCCCCCCAAAAGGCCACCACCCCTGTGTGCCACCCCCCTTCCCAATCCCAGTTATTTTTGTTTATCCTGTGGGTTTTTTTACCTCCCCTTTTCCCGTGTGGAGCCCCAGCTTCCGTGGTCGCTATTTAAATCATTAAATGCTTCACACAGCCCGAGTTTCTGCCTGTGGAAAGGGGCAGGAGGGTGCCAAAGGGAAAACATAAATTGGGATTTTTGGCTCTGATGGGGCTCCTGGCAGCCAGGAGACACCATTGTTCCCATAGCCTTTAGGGCCACCTTTGGCCCCAGGACTGAGGAGGGGAGGAAGCAGAGACGCCGCTGGGGGCTCTGGGATGAAGCAAAGGGGGTGTCCCAAATGGAGCTGAGACCTGCAAACTCATGACAGCAACACAGACATCCCCAGCCATGCCAGCCAGGACAGGGGGGGTTGGGAAGCACTCCCAGTGCTCCCTGCTCTCCGTGCCTGGGCTGGAGACAGCTCATTTCGGGACTAAAGGATCCCTTTTTTGGGCTAAACCCCCTTTACTGCCAACTAGCCCTGTATACCAGCCCCATCCCAATCCCGGTGCAGCCCACAGGGCTGGGGACAGCGTGGTCCCTCTGGCGTGCCAAGAGCTGCCGCTAATGAGGGGCTGGCAGCACCCGAGTAATTACACTAATTACACGGCAGCGGGAGAGTCCCTGCTCCAGCCCTAAGCATTCCCAGATGCTTCGGGGCACGGAGCAGCCGCTGGGCTTTTTATAACCCGGGCCGAGATTCCTGGGGTTGGCTTGGCCGGGACAGACCCCTCGGGGCCGGGAACGCCTCCGGCACTCCCTGCTCCCTCCCAGGGGACAGGGAGGGTGGGCAGGGGAGGAGGCTGGGCAGCCCAGAGAGAGGGGCTGGGGGTACCATGCCCACCCTGTGCAGGCACAGGAACTCCTTGGGATTCCTGGGACACCAAAAACTGCGTCCCAGAGCAAAGCCACAGCAGCTCTTTGCTCACCCCGAGGCTGCTCAGGCACGGAAAAATGCTGCCCTTGTCACCACCTGACAGGATAACACCACAGATGTCATCCCGCAGCCCTTCAGACGCCAAGTGAGAAAGGATTTAACTCCAGAACTGCTTGAAAAGAGTGGGAATAGTGTAGACAAGGGTTTAAAGACATGTGAGGGATGTTACACACCAAATGACAGGAGTGGAGCTGTGTGCTGCCCACACGGGGTTAAAAGGCTTTCAGCTGCATATTTTGGAGTAATATTTAGTGCCAAAACATCATTCATCTGGTGAAACAGCACTGGCTGAGCCTCCACAGCCCTTTGAGCCCACGGAGCAACACATGGGGAAGGCAAGGACCAGGGGCAGGACATGCTGGAGGAGCTGGAGTCAGGATCCTGGAGTGAGGAATGGGCTTCCTTAGACACACAAACATGTTGAGAGCATAAACAACTCGTGGGTGTTCAGCAAACACAATTGAAATGGTCATTTTCAGGCTTGGTTTCCTCTTGTGTGCTGAGTAAGAGATGTGTGGAGGGGAGTGGGGGGCCCAGATGTGGTGACAGCTCCAGCCACTGACCCCCTGGGGCCACAAGGACAGGTGGCACACACAGTCCTGGGCGGCAAAGGCCTCCTGGCACAGCCTGGCACCCCCTTTCCACCCAGTGTTCCCTTCCCCCTGCAGCAGCATCCCGGCTCTGCTGCTCTGGAGGGCAGCACCCGGATCAGTCAGGCTTTAGGGGATCCTGCTGGGCGACCTCTGGATCCACCCGGGGGCTGTGGGGAAGGAGACACTCTGGCCTGCAGCAGAAAAGCTTTGTGTGAGATATGGGAGTGGTTCCTTGCCCGAATTGCTGCCGGGAGCAGACGCAGGCCATACCTTCCCCCAGGGGAAAGCGCTGTCCCGACGCCAGCACAGCTTCCAGCGGAGACGCCGGAGGGTCCCGGGAGGTCTCAGTCACTTCCATCCTGATCTCCTCCCCGGTGATGCTGACCTCCAGTTTGTTGCCCAAGTAGGAGATGCTGGAGACTTCCAGCTTGGTGATACCATCGGGAAAGGCGGGATCGAAGAGGAGGCGAGACCTTGTGATCCTGGAAAGGCAGGAGCAGTCAGGGTGGGAAGAGCAGGAGCCACAGAGGAGCCCAGCTCGGGGCCAGGGAGCAGCCACCTCTCTGGGCATCACCTCATGCACACCAGAGGGCTCTGGAAGGGTGCTCAGTGCATCCACGGCTCTCTGGGCAAATCCTGAACACTCTGATGGAGCACCTGGTGAGGAACTGCTGGGGCCGTGATCCCACAGCCCACCCCAGACATTCCCATCCCAGCTCCACAGCCGGGGCCGGGGCTTTCCATGAGGTCAGATTTCACAACTAAAAAATGCAGCCCAGTTTCCTGCTCTGGCTCAGAGCCTGGGGAATGCCCTGCTCCTCCTCTCAGGGCAGGGGACCCTCAGCTCCCACAGGATGCAGGGCTGGAAGCTCAGCAGGGCTGCTCCGGGGGAAATGCAGGCACAGAGAGCTCCCAAGGCTCAGAGATGGAGATGGATGCAGTGTTTGACCTAAGCCTTGGAGGTTTAGAACAGAAAAGTGAAACAGACACCAAGTAAGAATAAAGATTTCTAGTTCAAGCAGAAATATGCCTCATGGAAGTGAATAAATACGTTAAGCAAGATAGCAGAAAATTTTAAAGTCTAGCAATATAACTTGGCAAGAAGTAGGAGCTCCAGCAATGAGCCTCTGTAGAGTTGTGTGACTGGATAAAAAGAAGCACATTGCAGCAGAATGGTGTAAAATGTAGCAATGATTTGTAGCAATTTGCTATCATTTTAGCAATGATGAAAAATTAATGGTCGGTTTGTGAAGATCCTAGTGAGCTTTGCAGAAATAGCTGATTAAGAAATATAGAAGATATGATAAGAAATATATAAAGGACATTGTAACTAAAATTAAAACTGCTTCTGATGTGATGGCATTCAATGTAAGTCTCAGCCTTCCAAGAGACTGATGTTGCAATAAATAAACCATCTTTTAATCACCTCATCAGTCTGCTCTGTATCCCCAGCAGTGCTCCTTCCCCAGAAACACTGGAACAAACATCCCAGCTCTCCCCCCAGCCCCGAGCCAAGCCAAGCTGTCTGTGTGGGCGTTGGCTTTGGGCGAGGACAAACAAGGGCCCCTCTTGTCCCCAGCCCAAACCCTGGTGCCCCAGAGCTCTCCACCACCAGCTCCAGAAGGCTGAGAGGGCTTCAGGGGCTGGAGGGGGCTCGGGGGAGGTTTGGGAGCCTGGGGAACCCCAGCACTGCACAGGATCCGTGTCCCACGGCGGGAGCGTGGCTGTGCAATGTCACCGCCACCTCTGGAATGCGGCCAGAGCCCCAAGGCTGTGGCGTGAGCCTGTGCCACCAGGGGCCTGACCCAGCACACACTGGGCACGTGGAGACCTCCCAGCCTGGCCAAAGCCCAGATTTCCAGCTGGGAATAGGGCAGCTCACACCCAGCTCCGCCAGGGAATGGGGCGGGTTTCCCAGCAGCTCCGGCCACACACGCGGAGTGAAAACACATGGTTGGGGCTGGAAGTTTTCACTGGGAATCAAAAGCCTTGATCCAGCCTCAATTAAACCAGGAATAGGCTGAAGAGATGGCGGCTCCAGGGTGGAAACCACCAGGGCTCTGAAATTACATGAGCAGCTCCGTGTTTTCCCAGGATATTTTAAAGCTGAGGCGATGCCTGCTCAGCACTTCGCTCCAGGGAGGCTCCCGGAGCCCCGTGTGAGCAGGGAGGCCACAGGGAGGCTGCAGGAGGTGTTTCCTCACCACATCCAAAGGAGACAGGAGGGTGCTGCTGCTGAAGCAGAGAACAGGCTTAGGGAATGCCATTTTGCTTCCCAAATGGGACCTGTCACGAGCCTCTTACCTGTTCCCAACTTCGCTCCAGCCAAACAGGGACATTTCAAGGGACAAGTGGCTGCTTGGGAGTTAAAAGTGGCGCAACAGGTCTCACCTGAACCCCGTGAAGCCAAAGAGGATGACCTGCAGGAATCCACCCATCCCTGTCAGGAAGTTCACAGCTCCAGACCCATCCGAGTTCTCCACCCAGACCTGACCAGCCGGAGAAAGAGATGACACAGGAATTTATTTGGGATGCTCCAGGCAGTTCTGTGGCTTTCAATCCCATTGCCACCTGCCTGGGAGCAGGAGGGATCTGCAGCCCCTGCAGTCACCTTGAAAGGCTCCGTGATGTTGCTGAAGCACTTTTCCAGCTGGCTCCGGGCTCTCTGCAGCTCCTTCAGCTCCAGCCAGCCCACGGCAAACATGCTCTGCCGGAGCGGGAACGGTGACAGCCCTGTGGAGCAGCTCCACCTCCCCACCCTTCCATCCAGAGTGAGCATTTCCAGGGCACATCCCAGCCCCACAGCACCCCTCCCAGGGGTCAATCCCAGCTGGGCTCTGCCCTGTGCTCACCCAGGTCATGGCTGGCCCGGCCGGGTCGGTGACGGGCTCGTACATCTCCAGGTCGTTCCTGCGGACCTCGGCACTCATGGGATGCATCAGTGGGAACCCCAGCAGCACCACATCCGCCTGTTTCACTGGCTCACCTGGGGACAGGGCTGCTCAGACAGTTCCCAAATTTCCTAAGTTTTGGAGCCCACTGATGGGAAACAATCCAGCAAGGGAGGAAAACCACCCCAGCCCAGCTTGTTGCACTGCAGCAACAGCAGAGACTCCTCCTCTGCCATCCCCAAGTCTGACCCAGTTGGAATTCTGATCCTTCCAGGGTTAAAGGTGTGATCCATGGGCTGAGCCACCTCCATGGGCTGCTGTGACTGCCTCCTTGCTCACCTGGGCTGTAGCCATCGTACTCAGGGTGATATTTCCTCTCCTCATCAAAGGGCACTTTGATTTTCCTGGCACGGTCCTCCCACTCCTCTGGCGCTGGGAGCAGCAGGTCCCGAGCCAAGTCAGTGGCAAAATTTAAGCTGGAAAGAAGGAGGAACAAGGTTTTATATCAGAGATGGGTGGTGGTGAGAGGAGAGAGGGGACAGAAGGAGCTGCAAGAAAAAAGCTGCTGTGGGAGAACAAGGGGCAGAGATTGAGCCAGGGCTAACAGCTTCCATCACGGAGCCAGGAGCTCCTTTCCCTGGCTGTGGGTGTCTCCGGCTGGCCACCGGCATAGACACCCCAAGGAATGCCAAGGGAGAAGCCCTGCTGTGAATGGAGATCCCTCTCAGCCTCACGTGGGCACTGAAGAGGTTGGAGGAGCCAGAGGAGCCCCCAATTCTCTCTGCCTGCAGAGGGGGTGAGGAGAGGGGGGAGATCCCTCTCAGCCTCACGTGGGCACTGAAGAGGTTGGAGGAGCCGGGGGAGCCCCCACTCCTCCTCTGCCAGCAGAGGGGGTGAGGGGAGGGAGGAAGGATCCCCTCGGGAGCCCCACTGCTCCCATCCCTGCAGAGTGGAAGAGCAGAGAGCCAGGCTGTGTCCCCAGGAGTCATTCCAAAGGTTACCTGCGCCGGGCCACGGCGTTGGTGTAAGCAGAGTTATCCACATGGCTGTGGTACTCGTCTGGGGGCATGACACCTGCGGGGACACGAGGGACACTTGGCACCCCAGCACACCCAGGGGCTGCCCTGGCCCTGGGCCCCTCCCTGGGGACACGGCTGGGGAAGGGGACCCTGCTGCCCATCCAGATCCTGCTGGCAGATCCCACACTTCCAGCGGGATGCTCAGTGCACGTGGGAAATGGAAAAATAGAAACTTCCACAGACTCAAAAAGGTTTCATTTGCAGCCTTGGAAGGAGCTTGGATTGATGTAAAAATAAAGTATGCAGACATTAAGTAGAAAAATCATCAACTGATGCTTCTATAGTTATAAGTAAGAATAAGCCCTAAGTAAGTAAGAAACTATTGATAAGGTGGTGAAGGGTTTATAACCTTCAGAGTGTAATTGTATAGAACAAGTTAAGAGTTTAGGTGTTACAACAGAGCTGCGTGTGCACTTGTAATAACAGCCTGTTGGTTAAAAGTATCCACACTGCAGTAAAAGTAAAGGTGACAGATTAGAAAAGCAAAACATACTCTGTAGCAACAGTCCATTGGATTAGAAAGTTGTATATTGTCTTGTAACAAAGAACTTTAGACTATCTTGAGCTATGGCCAACTGCTCGCTGTCTCAAAATCTCACAGCCACTGAGACTGATGTTTATTTAAAAAGTAAATTATCCTTAGCCCTTTAAACTGATTTTAGTCCCCTCCCTTTAATTAACGTGAGGACAGTGACAGTGCTGAAGCAGGAACAGCCCGGGATGCAGCTCTGGCTGTGCATGCAGGAACCTCATCCTCAGGGCATCCTGAGGGGACCTTCAAGTCATGGAATCCCTGGGTGGTTTGGGTTTCCCCATCCAATTCCACACCCCCCCATGGGCAGGGACACCTTCCACCAGACCAGGTGGCTCCAAGCCTCTGCTTTCCACCCCATTCCCATGGCAGAGATACCTCTGATGTGGTAGAGCTGCTCCTCCTCACTCCACACCATCCTGCTGCACCAGTACTGAGCCACGGCTTCCACCAGCTCCCAGCCCCCCTCCTCCCGGAACAGCTTCAGGTCCTGGGGGAACAACAGGGCCATGAGGGAGACTCCACCAGACCCAAAGCCAGCAGGAGGACGGAGAGGAGCTCTGAGGAGGTGGAGGGAGCAGGAGGAAAGACTGGCCTGGTTTGAGCCAACAGGATGCTGAGGCGCCCACAGGAGCAAGGACAGAGCAGGCAGGGCTGCAGGAGGGAGCCTGCGGAGCAGAGAGAGCAGAGCTCCTCAGGGAAGGGACAGTGACAGTGCCCAGGTGTCCTGCCACCGGGCCACCCTCCCTTTACCTGCGTGGTGCAGTAATACTGCTCGAAGGCCATCAGCACATCCCCGGTGACGTGGATTTCCTGGGCCCCGTAGATCTCCTCAGGACACACCTCCCGGCCAGTGGCTGCGCTCTCCCACGGGAACTTCGCTCCCTGCCGAGAGAAGGCACCCATGGGCACATCGCCCTGTGCTGTGTCCCGCTGAAACAGCCGGGATTGCCCTGGGGACAGGGGATGCTGCCAGCCCAGCCTGGGATTGCCCTGGGGACAGGAGCTGGTGCCACCCCAGCCCGGGATTGCCCTGGGGACAGGGCCAGGTGCCACCCTGCCTGGGATTGCCCTGGGAAAGGAGATGCTGCCAGCCCAGCCCGGGATTGCCCTGGGGACAGGGGCAGGTGCCACCCCAGCCCAGGATTGCCCTGGGGACAGGAGTTGGTGCCACCCCAGCCCGGGATTGCCCTGGGGAGAGGAGCTGCTGCCACCTCAGCCCGGGATTGCCCTGGGGACAGGGCCAGGTGCCAGCCCAGCCCGGGATTGCCCTGGGGACAGGGCCAGGTGCCAGCCCAGCCCGGGATTGCCCTGGGGACAGGGCCAGGTGCCACCCCGCCCGGTGTCCCTGTCGCACCTCGTAGCCCTGCTCCCGCGCGTTGCGCCTGGCGCCCTCCAGCGTGCGGACGCGGTAGTGCAGGATGGCGCGGGCCGCCTCCGGGTGGAGCAGCAGGATGCTCGGGAACATCCAGGTGTCCTGCGGGGCCGCGCGCCGGGATGGGCCCGTGCCAGGCATCCAAATGCTCCCGCCAGCTCCACCCTCCAAGCACACCCTCATCCCGACGAGGACGGAGTCTCGTCCATTGCAAGCCCCCCTCACCTGGTCCCAGAAGACGTGTCCCCAGTAGTCCTCGCCGCGGGTGCCGTTGGCCAAGCCGCCGGGGCTGATGCCGTGGAAGGGGCCCGCGGGGCCGCGGCGGGGCGGCAGGGCGCTCAGCAGGTAGTGGAGGCAGCCGTGCAGCGCCTGGCGCAGCGCCGCGGGCCCGTCCAGGCGCACGGAGCACTGCCGGCGCAGCGCGGCCCAGGCGCGGACGTGCGAGCGGTGCAGCGAGCCCGCGGCCAGCAGCGCCAGCCCCGCGCTGTAGCTGCGCTTCGCCTCCTCCTCGCTGCCCGCCACCGCCGCCAGGAACTGCCAGCGCCGCCGCCGCTGCCCCCCGCACAGCGTCAGCCGCTGCGGGATGGGGGTCCACAGCATGTGCACGGTGGGACGGGGGCCCCCCTCCACCTCGGGAACCAGCGTCTGCCCGTAGATGTAGCTGAGGGAGACGGGAAGAGACTGGGGAAGGTGTTTCTTCCCAATGTCTCATCTCACCCTGCCCTCTGGCATCCCAAACGGCCGCTGGTCCCAGGAATCCTGTTCTAGAGGTAATCTCCTACAAATCTTCTGTTTTCTCCAGCCTCATTTCTTTGGAAGCACGTCTAGCCCCCATCACCTTCACTGTCCTCACACATCAGTGTGAGGCATAATTCTGGAGTTGCAAGTAATACAAATGTTTCTAAGCTTAATTTCAGGGGGTTTTTAATACACCTGCCAGGACAGAGCAGGTGTGAGAAGCCCCCACATCCCTCACCATTCCAACCTCATGCCCCTCACCATTCCAGCCCCACGCCCCTCACCATTCCAGCCCCTCACCCCTCACCGTTCCAGCCCTGTTCCAGCCTTACATCTGCAGTTTATTCCCCAGGGGAGAGCAGGGCACGGTGCCACAGCCCGCAGAGGGTGGGCTCATGGCGGGGACCCCCATTCCCCACACTCACTGCGCTCCCTGGAAGTCTGGGCCTGGGATCAAGTGCAGGTCCTGGCTCTGCGGCACGAACAGGCTCTGGAGCTGGACGGTGACGGGATGTGTGGAGCCATCCAGGCGCCGGATGGTGACGCTGCAGGCCATCAGGTGCACCAGGGAGTGGTGGGCGTACAGCTGGTGGGTGGCCGTGTAGCCAGGGGCCCGAATCGTGTGGCTGAAGGTCCCTGCAAGCACAACCAGAGCTGCCAGGCTTTGGAAACACTTGGATCCTGCCCTATCTACTGGTTCCTACTAGCCAAAAAATTGCTTTTCCCAGGATGGGATCCAGTTGTGGACTGGAGAACACTGGTGACAGTGAGCCTGGCCAAGCTGCTGTGGGATGCTCTGTGCCATCAAACATTTTACCAGGCTCCGTGATTAAAGATTGTCTGCCGAGCCTAGGCCAGCAGGGATAGAGCTACAGCCTGAACATCACTTATTCCCACACAAAAGGGGGATTTCCCGCGTGTTCCAGAGGAACAGCACCCCGAGGCGAGCGGAGAACGAGGAGAAGGAAGATGTGCCCGAGCGGAAGAGGCAGCAGCAGCAGCAGCGAGAACCGAGGCTCCGGCAGAGCCCCGGGCCGGGCGCCGCTCCCTGCTCACCTGTCCAGGTGTTGAGGGTGAAGCTCTGGGCCGGGCTGCGGGCGCCGGGCGCTGCCATGCGCAGCCCCAGCGGGCTGGGGACATCGGCGCGGTGCGTGTCCCCCGCCGCCCCGCTGTACACGCCGGCGGCGTGCAGGATGTCCCGGAACACGCGGGTGCCCAGGAAGGCGTTGGTGACCGTGGGCAGCAGCCGCGGGTCCTCGGGCAGGGCGGTGGCCGTGAACACACCGAGGCCACCCTCGCCATCGGCCATCGCCGCCAGCCCCACCTGCGGGGCCGCAGGGATGGGATGGAAGCTGAGGGGATGTGAAAAATGTGTATTTTATGATTGGCTTTTCGCAAGTATTAAAATTAATATCGTATGTGTATGTTAGAAAGTTATGCTGTATTAATTTTCTTAAATATAGTTTTAGGTTATAACATAATGTTAAAATAGGAACTATGCCATGTAAGATATTTGTTTAAGAAAGGGCTCGCACCAGATAGGAGCGACAGGAGACCTAAATCTTTCAGAGAAAGGGAATTTATTGCTCCCTTATCAGCAGAAAACTAACTTCTTCCCACCTCGCTCAGACTGGAAGACAGCATGAGGATTAAGAGGAAGAAGTTGACAGTGACCAGACAGAATCCTGTATTTATGGAATTTATGCATCATGTATGAGATGTATGAATATGCAACAGGCAACTGTTTTTAAGGGTTAATCCTCTGTTAATAGGTGTCCTTTTTCGGGCTTGTGTTGCCCAGAAAAAGGTACCCGGACGTCCGTATCTCTTTGTTTTTATTGTCTCACATTGTCCTAACCTCAAATGTTCAAATTTTATTATTCTAATTATATTACTATTTTTATAACCATTTTATTACTATTAAACTTCTAAAATTTCAAAACCAAGTGATTGGCGTTTTTCACAGGGAACAAAGTCAGCTCCCTGTCACACCCCCACCTGCCACCTTTTGGTGTCCCCTCTGGTCACCTCCAGCGGTTTTCCCCCATCCCAGCTTCCTCCCAGCCCTGCGGTGCATCCCCTCCGATCCCTCACCCCATCTCCAGCTGTCCCAAATCCTGAGGGATGAAGGATGAAGCTCACAGGCTTCATCACTTCTCAGCCTCCTCCCTCTTCCTCTTCTGCTGCCGGGATGGGGCTGCACCAGTTTCTCCCGACACACACAGCCACCTTCCCCATCTGCCTCCTCTTCCTCCCAGTGCTGTTCCGTGACACTTTGAAAAGTTCCTGATACTTCCCCCTCTCCCAGCCCACTGCACCCCTCTGTTCCCCCTCATCTCCAGCTCAGCCTCCCGGGGCAGGACCTTTCTATTCCACCGATTTATACATAAAACTATATTTATGTGTCGTGTACAAACACACATATAATTACAGACTGAAGATATGTACAGACACAGACACGCGCAAGCAGCCCCTGACAAAAGGCAGCTGCAGCTGGCTCCTGGCAATGCCGGGCGCAGGAAAAACACAGGAATGACGAAATGAGGCTCTGAGAGACTCTGAGCAGAGCTGGCAATCCAGCCGGGGTGACACGGGGGCAAGGAGGGTGCCCAGCCCCCAAATCCCTCCCTGACAGCAGGCGGATGCAGGAACGCTCAAGCTCAGCTCGGTTTCCTCACTGAGACTGAGCTGGGAGGAAAATCCTGCCTTCGGGAAAGTGAAAAATCCCGACCCAGCCCGAGCCCCAGGGTGCGGAAGGGAGGAGGTAGGTCTTGCCTTCTGTCCCGAGGCTGAGCCTGTGCAGGCGGAGAGGCTGCTCCAGGGAAGGACGGAAGTTCCCCAACCGAGAAAGAAGGAAGGAAATCGCTTTTTTTTCTGGTCGTCTCCTTAAAAAGAAATAGTTGGAAAAATGATCCTGGACACGCAGGTGTTTGTCCAGCTGAGCACCCGCAGAGGGAGTGTGGCAGTCCTGGGGCTGCCCTGTGCCTGGGAAGGAGGAACTGAAAGAGGAAAACCGAGTTGGATGAGCTATGATCCCAAAGCTGCTGGCAGAGAGCCGAGTCAGCAGCACACCCCCCTGACCTCCCGTGGCCCCGGCCATATTCTGACCCTTCCCCTTGCCTGTTTCCAGGGAGGATAAAAATTCCATCTGGACTTTGGCTTTGGCATGCCTTTCCCAGCCCCTTCCAGCTGGTCCCGTCCTGGTGGGTCAGGGATCCAGGGCTGGAGCTGCAGCCAGGGCCACCGGCCACTCCGAGCAGCCTCTCGGGGCTCACCAGGATCCAGCACTTCCAGGATTGACATAGCACATCTGTCCTGCACTGTAAATCCATGGAAAAGCTCCCTGGAGCCTGCCCGGGTCGGTCCTGCAGCTGCCAATGCCCCAGGGACGCCTTGGGGACACCCTGGCAAAGGGCAGAGCCAGAGCAGCAACACTTCCAGCTCCCAGCTCTACTCCTTTATATTCCAGGGTCTAATCCCACCTGGGCCCCAGCTGGATTCATTTCTCCTTTGGTTGGTTCCTCACAACCAGCTGCTGATTCCAGCACAGCTGAGGGCAGGAATATCCATCCCCTGGAGAGTGGCTGGGCATCCACAGGGGTTCTGGAGCACTGGAATCCCCCTGCAGCAGCCACCAGCAGGGACAAGCTGTTCCTTCCCCAGCTGATCCCAGTGGCACGCACCCCACTTCCTTCCCTTTATCAGAGGAATTTGGAAATAACCCTTTCCAGTGAGCCCTTTCTCACTGAATGGTGTTTTGAGTGTTATGAAGTTTATAAAAACCCACAGAAGAGGAGGTCCAAGGAGAGAGGAGTGCTGCTCCAAAGGAAGAGTTTTGCTCTAAGGGAAAAGGCCCCTCCAAGGGGAGGTCTCTGCTCTCCAGCAGAACATCCCAGTGTCCCCCTGTGCTGGCTGGGGACAGTTTTTGGTCTCAAGAGTCCTGGGCAGTGCTAAGGGGAAAAAATCCAAAACCAATTAAGGGTAGAAAAATGAAGCAGAGAGCACTTTGGGAAAGCCTGGCTGTGTCAGGCTGTTCCTCCCTGTGCCCTGGAGCTGTGCCAAGGAGTGGCAGGGGGGTGGTGGCAGCAGTGACAGTGACAAGCTGGGCAGCTGCAGAGCGAGGAGCAGCGGGATCGCCCTGAGAGCGCCATGAGGGGTTTCCAGAGGGGCTCCCAGCTCCTGGCAGCTGCACTCCGGATCAGCCGGGTCCCCCGGGCACAGCTCCGCTCCCTCCCACCCGAGCACCCGCTCTCTCCTGGTGTGAGTATCCTGGGGGGCTGGAAAAGTGGGAACAGCCCGCTTGGAGGGGCCCAAACCCTCTGTGTCAGGGCCAAATTGCTTTGGAAGGGGGAGGAAGCAAAAAGGGAGGGGGAGGAAAAGAAGGAATGAGCCCTCAGGTTCCAGCACACCCCCATGGTGTCCATGCCCTGCTCCCCCACCCCTGGCTCCTGCTTCTCTTTGATTTTGTCCTTTCAGCCCCTTTTTAAACCTTTGAGTTTGGGGGTCCCCTGCAGCCCAGGGCAAGGGACAGCAGTGGCACTAGTGGTCCCTCAGGGCCAGATCCAAACCCTGTCCCCCTATCCTGGGACAGTGACCCCAAATGGGTGTCCCCACTGGCAAGGACAGGAGCTGCTGTCACTGCAGAGCCCAAGGTCCCTCTGACAGTCCCCCTGTGGGGACAGTCCCCCCAAACCAGACCTTCCCGGGCTGGGTGAAACAAGCTGGGAAAAATGAGCTTTCCACCAAAATGCTGCCTGATTCTCCCTCCACCCCTTTTTTTGGGGTTTTCCCTCTGCTGCCTCTCCAAGGTCTTCAAGAAAGCAGCTGCAGGAGCCTGGAGAGGCTTTTTCCAGGCAAATAAATCAAAGGAAGGTGCCAGTGTGGGAGGTTAATGCTCTCCTGGTTGCAGTGGGGAGATGAGGGGCTGCTGCTGGCTGCAATTCCCATCCCAAAGTCATCTGAAAGTCAGGAACTCTGCAGGCCCCGGCCACAGCCTCAAGGTCATGCACTGCTCCAGTGTCCCAGAGAAACAACAAACCTGGAGAGCACCAGCTCCATCCACTGCCAGTGGGAACAGCTCTGCTCCCCAAAAGTGCCAGGGCAGGTGCCAAGGACTGGGTAGAGCACAGGGAAGCGAGCTGGGCGTGGTGTTGGACTGCAGCAGGGCAGCCATCCCGGGAGCCCTGTGTGCCATGGCTGTGGCACAGCCATCCCACTGATTCCCGCTCCTTGTCCCCCTCAGGAACAAACTGTGGCCCTCGCCCTGATGTTCTCATCCTTCCTGCTGCCCACAGCCTGGGTCCTGAGCAACATCTACAACTACAGGAGCAGGCCCGAGTGAGGAGGGGCAGGAGCAGCCTGATCCCTGCTGGGAGCATCCCGAGGGAAGAGGCCTCGGGACAGAGCCTCGCCGGGATGGAACCCCCCGAGCCTGCTCATTAAAATCCACCTTTGCATTCAGCAAGGGCTCTCTGGGTTTGCTCCATCCTGTGGGGAAGGAACCGGATCTGTGCTCGCTGCCCTGATGGCAGCACTCCCTCAGGGGCTGCCAGCAGGTCCCAAAGGGAAGGCACATTCCCTCTGGAGCCTCTACCACCCGCAGCGCTGCGTGCACCCAGTCACCTCTCCCAGCACAAGCAAGGAAGCCATTCCAAGGTAAATTCCTGGCAGGAAACCACTCAAAAGCTAAAAGTGACATTAAAAGGGTGCCACAGGCTAGGGGCTGCATGCCTGCCCACTCCCTGCCCTGCAGGAAGGGTCTTTCCACCCACCACATCCCAAATTACCTGTGCCAGGGAAGCAGCCAGCACGTGGAAGGTTTGGGTAGTGAGGGGTGCTTCCAGGTGTCTTGGAAAAGCCTCTGGAGCTGTCATGGTTCCGCAGATCTGACCCTCATTCCCAGGAGATGCTCACAGCTTCCCAGCCAGGAGAGTGCTCCCACAGCTGGAGCTTTCAGAATGCTCCTGGGAGAAGCTGGTACTGCTTCCACAGTGACATTCCAGGTTTTGGATGCTGATCCCAAGCAGCAGCAGCCCCACAACTCAGTGACTCCAGTGGAGTTTCCTTTATTCCCTAAAGTGTAGTGACAGCCTGGGAATGAGGATGAGATCTGACTTGGCACTGGGAAGGAGACTGTGCTCCTTTAAGCCTCCTCGTGTCCTCAGCTGTGAAATAAAGGGAATATTTTCCTGATTGGAACACCTACTTCTTCCACATGCTCTCCTGAAGTCAGTAGAAGTGGCACCAGGAGCAAGCCTTGGAAGACAGGATGCAGTAGGAATGGGGCAAGTTAAACCAAGTGGCAGGGCAGGGAAGAGGCAGGCACTGGGCACTGAACAACCTCCATCCAGGAAGGAATTTCAGCCAGAAGGGCCTGGAGAGCAGGTACAGACTCCAGCAATTCCATTTTGTCCTGTTTTCCAAAGCTTGTCTCCCTTGTGTGAGGCATCTCTGCACCAGTCTGGCACCAGCCACATGCTCCCTTCTTTTTCTTGCTGGATTAATACCCTCAGTCAAGGCTGGAAAAGCACAAAAATTCCAGCAGTGCCATTTGCTAATGACACCAGAGAACCAAACTGGTAAGGAAAGCTCCTGAATCCCAGGAGTGGCAAGGTCTGACCATGGAAACACGTTTTTAAAGGAATCATCAGCAGCTCAGAATTCCCAAAAAGGGAAGGCAGAGACGTTTATTCCGGCAATGCCACTGCACCTCACCTGAGCACAAAGCGCTGGTGAAAGACACCCACCCCCTCAAGTGTATGGACACACCCACTAACCAGGAATCCCGGGAAAAGCCTTGGATGGAGCAAACACTCCCTCTGCTGCAGATGAGGAGGGGCGGAGGGAAGCAGGGCCAGGGGAGGAAGAGGATTTGGGGAAGATTTGGGGAATGCTGCCTCAGGCTGCTGCAGGGGGAGAGGGCAGCGGGACAGGCTGTGTCCCCTAAGGCCAAGACCCCTTGGATACCTGCACAAGGATGCCACCCTCCTGCAGCAGCTGGAGGCAGGAGGGATCAGGAGTGATCCATCCCCCCAGAGCCACTCCTGCCAGCAGAGGGAAAGCTTGGCTCGAGCACCAAAGGGTCACACAGCAAAAGGCCACGTCCTCGTCCTCCTGCTCGCCACATCCCAGGCTGCTCCTGCTCTGCCCACCCACCCCTCCATGGATTCAGTACAGTCAGTGCTCTGAGTGCTGCTGGCCTCAGGAGCAGCAGGAATCTCCCTCCTCTATGTCAGGATGTCGTGGGCTTGGTGCTCCACCAGCATCTCCATGCTCCGCACGTCCGTGCACCAGAACTCCAGGCGATCCTTCATCCCTTTGATCTGCAAGGCAAGGCCACAGGGACAGAGTGCCTCAGCTCCTGGGAATGCCCACAGGCTCCTTCTCACACCTGAGAGCCCAAACCATCCCTCAAAGCCCCCCACACTGAGAAAGGGAGATGCCCCACCCCTGGAAGTGTTCCAGGCCAGGCTGGATGGGGGTTGGAACAACCTGGTCTAGTGGAAGGTGTCCCTGCCCATGGATGGCCTTTAAGGTCCTTCCCAACCCAAACTATCCTGGGATTCTGGGATTAACAGCTTCTACCAGCAAATCAGCAAGGGTTAAACTGAAATGCACCACAGGAATTGTCTGCAGCTGGAATTCCAGTCACTCATTTTTGGGTTTGAAGGTAAAGACACCCTTAAGTGTCTTTACCTTCAAATTCTCCTTAAGTGTTACAAGGATGAACTTGAGAAGCTCAGCAGCTCCATTATATCCTGGACTTCTCTCTTCCCAAGAGGAATGTGCCTCCTACATCCCCAAAACTCCCAGAGGTTGTTTCATGCATTTAACAATGAGGCCTGGATCCTTCTGGAAAACACAGCCATGGCTTCTGTGATCCATGGTGTTTGTGTGGCTTTCACAAGGCACAGGCAGCCTTGTCCTGTTGCACCTCCTGGAAGGTTTCTGGGTGAAACACCCCAGGGGCAAAGCCAAGCTCCCAAGGAGGCTCATTCCCAAGCCATGACTCATCCCAGGTCACCTCACCCGGCCCAGCTGGAGCTGGTGGCCATTACCTGCTGCAGGTCCAGCACCCGTGGCTGCACCCACGTCATGTGCACCCTCTTGTCCACCTCGTCGATGCTGCCCTTCACCAGCCCCACTGAGAGCGCCTTCATCACCAGCAGCTCCACCTGGGAACACACACAGTCCTGGGAAATGACCCAGATTGCCCCATTTTCCCCCTGAGATGAATAAAACTTGGCATCTTCACATGAGATCCCCTCAGAATCCAGGGCAGCAGCTCTCACAGCTGTCCCCTTTCAGGTGACAGAACTGCCTTGAGACTCAGCACCTCGACATAGAGGAGTTCTCCCTAAAACTGGATTTCAGGGTTTTTCAGTTTTTTTAGTTATTTTTCCCTAAAACTAGATTTATTTTCTTTTCTCTGAAATCCAAGGAAGAACAAGGGAAGTGGAAAAAGCCAAAACAGTCCAACTGTCCCCAAGCAGCAGGTGGGAGTTGGTCTCCTCTCCCAGGGAACAAGTGACAGGACAAGAGGAAACAGCCTCAAGCTGCACCAGGGGAGGTTCAAGTTGAACATCAGGAAGAATTTCCTCATGGGAAGGGGCTGTCAGGCATTGGAAAGGGCTGCCCAGGGAGGTGCTGAAGTCCCCATCCCTGGAGGTCTCCAAGGAATGACTGGATGTGGCACTCAGTGCTCTGGGCACAAGTTGGACTTGATGAGCTCAGAACCTTTTTCCAGCCTAAATGATTCTGGGATTCTGTGTGGTTCAGGTCTATCCAGGCACTCTCAGAGCTCCAGAACCTGGGCATTACCAAGGGTGTCTAGCCCCAAACTCACCTCGTTGACAGTGACTTTGGCACTCTTGGCAATCTCCTCGAAGGTGAGCTGGCGGTGGTTGGCCGGGCGGGTGAAAGTCATCTGGATCCAGGGAACAAACCAAAAAAAACCAACCCCCACAGGGTTTTAGGGATTCCCACAGTGCACAGAGCCTCCCCCAAACTGCCCTGCCCAGTCTCACTCTGCACTGACAACTGCATTTCTCATGTTTAATCAAAGTAAGTCAAACAAGAATGTTTTACACTAGCATGGTTACAACAGAGCCTTCCAGTGACAGGAAGGGACTGTTTCAGGTTATCCATCAGGGAAAGGACCCTCAGTCCTTGGGAAACAAAGATGATGAACTGTGTTCTAAAAGTCTTTTTTTATCCTGGAACATAGTGCAGACACTATCCCTGAAGGATTGCTCTCCCCCTTCTCCATACCACAGAATGGACCTTCCACTATCTCAGATTGCTCCAAGCCCTGTTCAACCTGGCCTTGGACACTTCCAGGGATCCAGGGGCAGCCTCAGCTTCTCTAGGGAAGACTATCTTCCCTCTGTGCCAGTGCCTCCCCACACCCACAGGGAAGAATTTCTTCCCAATATCCCACCCAACCTTCTGTCAGAGAAGCCACTTCCCCTTGTCCTGGCACTCCAGGCAAGAGCCCCTGGAGTTAGGGACAAGCAGCCCAGCACGAGGTGTCTTCCCTCATGGCACCTGCCTGTGGCTCCATCTACAGGCAAAATCCACACTGAACTTCCTGTATCCAGGAGTTCCTGCAGGTGAGTGACCAGACACACTGAGCACATCCCAGCTCACCTCCATGAGACACAAGAGCTGGATCTTCTGCAGCAGGAGCGCTTCGTTGGCAGCCAGGTCGGGCTGTGAGGGGAGAAAAGACACCAAATCAGCCCAGGATTACATTTTCTCCCTATCCTGGGGCAGAACAGCTTTACATACAGGAATAAATACCTGGGAGGGTTCATTTAAGGGGAAGGAGGCCACCACAGCCCACCCACCAGCCAGGAATTGTTCCAGAAAACAATCCAAGTGTCAGTGAATTCACAAATCCACTGCTATGCCAGTGATTCCTGGCATAGCCAGTGCAGGTAACATCCAAGATCACTGTTTCCCCACCCAGTTCCCAGAAGAGGAGGGAAAACCACTGTTTTCCACTGGAAGCACTCCAGAGGGAAGCCAAAAGAAAACTAACTATGTGTATCAAGATGGAATAACCACTCCTAGGCTCCGATGAGAATTGCACCAGCGCTCCAGAGCCAGGAATGAGGCAAAGCTGCTTAAGAAAAAGCCCGCAGACCCCAAGTGTCAGGTGGAAATCCCAAGCCTGGGCCTTCAGCAGTCCCAGAGCCCTCACCTGCTGCCCCCAGGCCGACTTGAGGGCCTGGAAGGTCTCCACGTTGCCGCTGTTGAAGGCGAAGAGGGTGTCAATGAGCCACTGCCGGTCCGTGCTGCGCAGGGACTCCAGCACGGGGTGCATCAGCTGCAGGGACAGGCAGGAGGGGTCAGCAGGGGAACAACAGCTCCTGGGGATCCAGGGATGAAGGGATGTGGCAGCACTCACCAGCTCCCCAAAGTTGTAGACGCCTTCTCCCAGCAGCCCGGCCAGCCCC